ATGTGGATGCCTAAGTATTAAAAAAAAAAAAAACCTCTGTAGTTCCTTTTAAAAACAGGAGAAATTTCCCCTTTCATCAGCTTCATACCCATGTGCTTTAAACTATTTGATACTTTCGTTCACACTCTTCATTTTAGTTTCACAAAGAGCCGGTAAAATACATAGCCCTGCACCAAGAGAAATTGCCTCTCCTGTCCCCTGGGGTCCCTCAGTGCTTCTGAGTGTCAGAAGCTGAACTCTGCTTCCCCAAGAGGCCAACTGGGAGCATCTGACACAACTCAGGAGAAGCACCCCAATCACAGCCCTAAGGCTTGCGAGTGGCAAACTGACAGCCTGTTTGAAACTTCTCTATGGCTCCCACTTATCAGAGGTGATCGTTTCTCCTTCTTAGCCTGTGCTAGAAGGTTCTATCCTATCTCCCAGGGCTTTCCTGCCCCATCCTGCCTGCAACCCTTCTTCACAGGCACAGGGGATGTACTCATGGTGTATGCTCCGATGGTGTCTGGGACTCTCATTGCCTTTCCGCCTGCCTGGCGCCTGCAGCTCCTCGCACAGCTTCTTCAGCCTTGCCCCACTTTCCCTCCTGGCAGGCTGACACCAACATGCACAAAGCCCTCTCAGGTTGACTGCCTAGCCCTCCGGATTGCCACAGCCTTTGCCTCAAGCCTCAGTCACAAATGCCTGTCACATTGGACTGTGACTAGCCATCTGCACCTCTCTGGAGGCACAGTTAGCTGGACTGTCACCCCTGGCCAGCATTCAGCTGAGTGTTACTCTGTCATTTGCGCCAACTCATTTTACTACATCCGCAGTGTACTCTGGCCCGTTCCCTAGGCGCATCCTGATGGACACAGTATCGCCTCCTGACAATGTTCAGATGAACATTAAAACGAACTTAAAACGAACAAGGGAAACCAGGATGTTTTCAGAGCTGAGAGGAACATCAACAATTGTACGTGCCGTCCGTGCCGTGCTGTTGAAAGAGAACTGGAAGTGGAGCACCTGGGACGCGAACGGGTGCCCATCTGGCATGACAACGCTAGCAGGTGGAGGAAGGCTGGCATGCTTTGCCACTGGCTGACCCCTCCTGCCTGTCTTCTGAACCTGATTATCTGGACTTGGTAGTTTTCTAAGTTGAAAATTGACCTCAGCCAATTTCTCTTCTGCTCAAATCGGGCATACTTTCTGTTACCTACAACTGGTAAACCTAACTGAGAGTGGCATTGTTGGCCTTCACCGCTCCATTTGGCAGCAACTGGAGAATGTTTTTGAATCTCATATTTTCACTCAGCAAGGACATATTTTTTTTAAGATTGTGAGATATTTCTTTATGAATGCTTCCAATGCCTTATTTAAAATATGAAATGGAATGCTCATTTGTATTGTGTTTGTTTGTTTGTTTGTTTGTTTGTTTTGCCTTCCTTCCTTTGCCTTTTCTCTCTTTTCCGTAAAATACACACACACATGAACCCGGATACACAATTAGGAGGGGAAGGTATTCAGGTAAGGCTCCTGTAGATATCTAACCCAGTAGGAAAGGATAGTGCCAATGGGAAGAGGGAAAAAGTGACAAGTGGCCTGAGACCTGGACAAAGAAGGAGACTCCAGTCATGAGACCATCTGAGAAGAAAAAAAAAAAAAAAGATTGATTCCCGAGCACAGAGAACAACTAGTGCAATGAGGAAAAAAAACATGTAATTCATCGACATGATTCTAGAATCATCCAAAGCAGAGTCAATGTGACACTGACCTGTTTTTAGAAAAAGAAGGCAGTACTAGGGGAACTCAGCGTATTGCCAGGGCCACACAGAGTCTAATCAGGTTTACCCAGACTGAATCAAGTAAGAAAGTTGGACAGCAGGTCCCTTGCTGCCTGCCATGCTGGCATCTCATGGTCTATGAAGGCACCAGAGGACAGCTCAAGTCCTTAGGCCCCTGCACCCATGTGGGAGACCAAGAGGAAGACCCTGGCTCCGGGCTTTGGATCAGCCAAATGCTATCCTGAAGTTGGCTGAAGTCCTCTTTATTAAATGACTGGCATATGATGATCTTTTTTTTTAAGATTTATGTCCATTAGAAAGTCAGATTTACAGAGAGAAGGAGATAGAAGAGAAGGAGACACAGAGAGAAAGATCTTCCTTTAGCGGATTCACAACCCCAGTGGCCACAATGGCCAGAATCAAGCCTATCTGAAGCCAGGAGCCAGGAATATCCTCCAGGCTCCCGTCTGAGTGCACAGTTCCAAGGCATTGGGCCATCCCCTACTGCTTTCCCAGGCCACAAGCTGGATGGGAAGTGGAGCAGCCAGGAAATGAACCAGTGCCCATATAGGATCCCAGTACATGCAAGGTGAGGATTCAGCCACTAGGCCATTGTGCAGGACCCCATACAATAATATTTGACAACTCACAGGCACTAGAGACGTGTTGCTGTCTCCATTTGGGGAGCTTAGGAAACTAGGTTCACGATCATTACTGTTACGAAGATCATCTTTAACTTGATGTTTCTTAGTGCTGTTCTCAGTATAATTAATTATTTACGTTACTCTACTGCAATTAATTTCTGCAATACCATTATCTAAATCCAATTTCTTAAATATTTGACCCACTCACTGGTCTCTTCAAGGTGTGTTTTTTTTTTTCCTTTCGGTGCACGGGGTCATTTTATGACGTAGGTTATCCTTCAAGAAAATTCCAACAAAACTGATTCTTTCTGCTTGTTAGGTCTTTTCTTCCTCCATTTCCTGCATTCACTTCTCTTGTAATTCTGCCTGGTACTTTTGTTCTTCTATTTTTTTTTTTTTTTTGACACCCTGCCAGCTGGTTTTGGAGGTGGAGCAGATCTAGAAGGTGGAGGCACTCTAGAAGGCTGCCATCCTGTTGTGAACGTATCGTTTGCTGGTTTTACTGTGGGTAATGTTGATATGGTACTTGGTACGTAAATAACGCAGATCCTGTTGAACACCCGTGGAAGAACTGTTCATACACAAGGCAATGGGAGCAACCTGATAGTTAGCTCGGATGACCTGCTTGAGCTTCAAACGCTATCACCATGCAGACACGTGTTCCATTAACCCCTGTCATTTGAACACCCATCTCTCTGTTGGAAAGAACAGGGCCTCAACTGTAAAAATCGTTTCGGCCACCAGATTTCATGTAGTAGTGTTTCCAGTGGAACGTTCAGCACTTGGAGTTACAAACTTCTTCCCCTAAAATTCCCACAATAGAGGGACCCAACTTTTGGATTGCATGCCACGTCTCATTGAATACATCTGTAGTTTTCACTAACGAATAGCCCCCTTTACAGTAATCATTGGGATGGTTCTGGTTGACATCGGTGCACTCCTGGGTCTTCTCTGTTTCCGGCAGGAGGGAGTAGAGCATCAGGGCTAAGAGTCAGGTTGTCTATGAGCTTTGTCCTTCTAGGTCTTGGTCTGTGGCTCTCAGGCTCAGAGCATAACCACTTTCTGTTTCACAGTAAGACCGTTTACTGGCCAGGCACCCGAGTCAAATTTTAACTCCATTTGTTACAAACTTTATTTGAATGATATAGTTAAAGAGAGAGAGAAGGAAGCTTTCCACTTGCTGATTCATTTCCCAAGTAGCCACAACAACTGGGGCTGGGCCAGGCCAAAGCCAGAAGTCCAGAATAGAGTCCAGGTCTCCCACATGAGTATCAGGGGTCTACACACTTGGGCCATTCACTGCTTTTCCAGAAGCATCAACAGGGAGCTGGAGCAGAAGCCGAGCAAGCAGGAATAGAATCTGCATCCATTTAATAGCCAGTGTTGCAGGCAATGGCTTAACCCACAGTGCCACAACACCAGCTCTACTACAAACTTTTTTTAAGCATTCTCACACAAGGAAGTTATGAGAACATGAGAGATTTGATTATCCTGATTTAATCACTGCATACCACATACATGCATTGAATTATCACACTTTGCTCCATAAATATGTACAATTATCACATGTTAATTTAAGAGAATAATAGAATCCTTTTAAGTGCAACACATATCCTGTAGGATGGCCAAAACAAAAAAATGTAACATATCAGCGAGGAAACTGGTAGAAAAATCACAACCCCTTTCATTGCTGGCAGGGATGGCTCAGCTGTTTTGATGTGGAGCTCCTCAAGTGGCTAACTCCCATCCTACTAAGCAACTTCATTCCTTGGTAGATACCCAAGAGGAATGGAAACACAGGTTCACACAAAAACTCACGCACACTTAGAGCAGTGCCATTCGTCATGGCCAAAAGGTACAGAAAATGCAAACGGCCATCGGCTGACAAGCAGATGATGTCTTCTGCCCACTCGATGGGATATTATTTCACAATAAAAATGAATGAAGTACTGAGGCATCTACAACTAGGAACATTGTGGTCAGTGAAAAGCACGGGCCACGAACGGGGCACGCTGTGCGACTCCATTGACATGGCTTATCCTCAATAGGCAAATCTAGAGAGAACTTATATGCTATGCAGAGGTACTCCTAGATACAGAATGTTAATTGCTGCAGAGTTTCTTTTTGGGGTGATGGCTGCACCATTCTTTTTTTTTTAATTGCATTGCATTAGGTAACACAGTTTCATAGGTTCTGGGATTCCCCTCACCCCTCCCAACACCCTCCCCCCATGGTGGACTCCTCCACCTTGTTGCAGTATTATAGTTCAAATTCAGTTGAGATTCTTTCATTGTAAGCATATACCAAGCATAGAGTCCAGCATCTTATTGTCCAGATAAATTCAACGGTTTCTTGGGGAGATCATCTCTGGTCTGAAGGTAGAGCTGGCAGAGTATCATCCCGATCAATTAAAAGCCCCAACATAGCATCAGCAACAATTTACAATGTTATGGAATTAATTGACATGGTACTGAGTAACCAATATGTTAAAAAAAAAATGCAAGTTCTTAACCACATTCTGTGACTACTTCATTGACATTTCAATTTTAGTTTATATACAACCGGCTTCTCTACACCTTAAAATGGCTATAGGGTACCATTCAGCTGTCTCGTGCCTATTTTCATTTTAGTATTTAACGGTTTATAGAGAAGCAGCAGCATTCTTAAGGACCCTAACTCTTCTACTACATTCTAAATGGATCCATTTCCATAGTGCCTGGGTCATTTCAATGAAGTCTGAGTTCTTTTTAGTGATCGGGGACCACTTGGACAGACAGAAGCGGAGAGGATGTACAGGATGCAGAGCATCTTGAAGCAAAGACACACATGGGACCCAGACAACAGGAATCCCGTTAACGGGACAACATGTTAGAAACACAAAGCATCAGACACAGAGGCCCTCCGCTGAGCAGCAGAGATGTGTCGCCCCATCGGTGGCGGGGACCACGCGGATGTCACAGTCTCTCTGCAGCATGGCCTCCCTCCAAATAAACAGAGTCGTTTGTTTTCCAAAGCAAATGAGCGGGAGCTGCGAATAGATCTAACAGTCTTTCAGAAAAGAGGGGGCTTAGTAAAACAATCTCCCTATTAACAGGTACATTCCCCCAGTAGCTTCAAGTTTGTTTATTTTCCCTTTTCACAGCAGCCCACATTCTTCCAACATATGGGTAAACACCCCAACACCCTCTGCTTTGAGTGTGGCGCTCTGAAAGCAGCAGACACAAAGAAAGGCGAGGAAGCGATTTCACTCCCTGCCTTCTCTTTCTTGCCTGTCCCCGGTACTAACCCAAACTATATTGGCTCCATTTTCTCTTACTTCCCCTGTGAAATACCACGAGTCGTAAATATTGTAGCTGTCCCCTACACTCTGGCTGACATTTCATGCAAAATTCATTTTAGAGAACATCCACCTTTCGCTGATTTATAGCCGAGTGTTAAGGATCTTGGAAAGCGAAAGATTTGAAATATAACCAAACAAAGACCTCACCTTGTCAGTCACCGAGTGCTCTTTTTCCGGTGGGTGGTGGTGCTTCGGAGACTTATTGTTCTGAAATTAGAAACAGAACGGGACAAAATGTGTAGATTCTTTTGGAAGGATTTCATGGTCATTAGCTGAAAGATAGAAGCTCGCTCGCCCGCCCTGCCATCAACCCAGTGGACAAATATCTCAGTGTGCTGGTGAGGGGGACACTATTTTTGCAGGGGACTTTCCATCTCCTAAGGGAACCCCTACTTATCGTGAGACAAGACACAACCATGAGAAACTTGGTGGAAATTCACCCAAGTGTTGTTAAATAGAGTCAAAGTGCAAAGGCAGACGAGAAAAACAGACACAGAACCTGGAAACTAAAATTCAGTAACTCCTTGTTGCTGCTTCGCCTTCTGACCAAGCACCGCAGGCTTCCCTTCCAGAAGCAGATTCCTCAAGCTGATGCCATCTCTCACTGCATACAGACAGGAATGAAAAAGACCCTTTCTGTGCCCATCCACGGTTGCTCTTGACCCCCCAGTGTAACTTTCAGAGAAGCTGTCACATTCCCCAGAGCCCCCAAGGCCGTGTGGATGCAGGAGGGACATGTCCTCAAGTCCCTGCAGCAGGGACCCCACAGCAGCGCCGACACGACTTCCAAGTGGAATACAGCATTTGCAAAAAGCCAAGCGATGGTTCTATATCATAAACCAGAAGGGCACCTGGGAGAAGCTTCTGTCAGCAGCTAGTGCCCACTACTGCCCACTGAAAACCCTGCTAATGTCAGCATGAGATCTCCAGGAACGCTGGCCAGCCAGCAGAGGGGGAGTCGGCTGCTGTCATGGAGATGCTCCATGCCGCTGGCCACACCGCTCCTGGACCTTCACTAACCAGCTCCTGGCTGGAACCACAGCTCCGGGTGACCCCCACCCAAGGGCTGACCAACAGACCATGGGGCATCATATGTGAACCTGTCTACCACTGTTCCAGGAACCACAGAGTCCTCTGTCTTCCCATGCAACAACCAGGGAGCCTTCTCAGTGAGTCTGATGTGGCAACTTCCGGCTGGGAAGCTCTGTGCACGCAGGCGCCATCGCCTGTGACCACCCACAGGGGCACAGGCCTGATCGACATCTACAGAGAGCCTTACCAGAGTAAAAGACAAGGCAGGCGGGCCCGGTACAGTGGCCTAGCAGCTAAAGTCCTCACCTCGAACACGCAGGGATCCCATATGGGCTCCGGTTCTAATCTTGGCAGCCCTGCTTCCCATCCAGCTCCCTGCATGTGGCCTGGGAAAGCAGTCAAGGATGGCCCAAAGCCTTGGGACCCTGCACCCGTGTGGGAGACCCAGAAGAAGCTCCTGGCTCCTGGCTTCAGATCGGTGCAGCACCAGCCATTGAGGTCACTTGAGGAGTGAATCATCAGACACAAGTTTTTCCTCTCTGTCTCTCCTCCTCTCTGTGTATCTGATTTTGCAGTAAAAATAAATAAATAAATCTTTTTTTAAAAAAGACAAGGCAGGCTGCAATCCCGGGGGACTGAGCTCACAGCTCCTCCAGCTGAGGTCACACAGGGGTCTGGAGGCAGGCAAGTACCCTCTGTACCTTTTTTTTTAAAGATTTATTTATTTATTGGAAAGTCAGATACACGGAGAGGAGGAGAGACAGAGAGGAAGATCTTCCATCTGATGATTCACTCCCCAAGTGACTGCAACGGCTGATGCTATGCCGATCCGAAGCCAGGAGCCAGGAGTTCTTCCAGGTCTCCCACATGGGTGCAGGGTCCCAAGGTTTTGGGCCATCCTCGACTGCTTTCCCAGGCCACAAGCAGGGAGCTGGATGGGAAGTGGAACTGTCAGGATTAGAACCAGCACCCATATGGGATCCCGGGTCACGTTCAAGGCGAGGACTTTAGCTGCTAGGCCATGCTGCCGGGCCCTCCTCTATACCTTTTAAGCAGCCCCCCCCCCACTCAAGCTTGACTGGCACGGCCTGCCTCGGAAGCCAGGGCTTCTGCTCCCACTGCACAGACCCCCAGATGAGTAGGAACAGCCACTGTGCAGCGTGAGACCAGCCCGCAGAGTTTCTCGAATGAAACGGAAATGACGCGGATGGAAGACAAACACCGATTTCTCATTTTTTTTTCAAAAGTAGTTTTAAAACAGACATAACAAAATTCTATACAAGAAAAAGCTGTGTCACATAAGGAAACGTGGCTGGGTACGAAACACCCTTCAGGAGCAGCTGGCGGGAGACAACAGGAAGAATTCTATTTTCATGCATTTACACATTCACAGAAACGTAAGATTTTCTTTTTTATTTTTCATGATACAGTTTCTTAGGCTCAGGAAATTGCTCGCTCGCTCGCTCTCTCTCTCTCTCTCTCTCTCTCTCCCTTCCCCGCCCCACAATCATTTTCCCCTAAATTATCACAGCAGTGTAACTCTTCCACAACAGTCACAAGTCCATCATCCTGCTACTTAAATGTATCCTGACATTGAGAACCACAGATCTTGCTTAAGATGTTCAGAAACCTCTGACTCTGCTCTCATACAACCTTTGTAACCTTGACTCAACTGTCGCTTTAAATATTTAGCTATAAAAAAAAAAAACACTTGAACACCTGTGGTACAGATGCGCTTTCATTTCCCTACTAGAAAAACAATCGAGCAAATGTAAATAAATCACTTTGGTCTATCTCCCAGCAATAGCCCAGCTGCCTTCTTATTTGTCCCTGACTCGCCAGTAGATTCACCCAGGGAAGGTTCGGTGTGTCCCGCCCGGCCTGTTCCTCCTCCCATGCCATCTTCTCTCTCCTAGGAGACAAGAGAAAGGTCGCTATGCTGTGGTTGTCTCATGGAGATCCGAGGCAGCCACATCAGCATCCCTGTGCAATGTGTCAGAAGAGTTTAAGGGCTTAAGCCCCACCCCACACCAGAAACTTCGGATTCACCTCAAAAAAAAAAAAAATGTCTAGTTTCAGAATCCTTCCCAATGATGTCAGACCCACACTCGAGTCTGGAAACCACTGCTGTCCTAGAAGATCATCCCATCTGTCTAGAATCTTCTTTGTGGAGCGCACGCATTGCACAGCTGGCATTGTGGCACGGTGGGTGAAGCTGCCAACTGCGACACCAGCACTCCACAGCTGAGCGCTGGTTCGAGTCACAGCCGCTCTGCTCCCAAGCCAGCACCCCATTTACGTGCCTACAACAACAACACAGACGTTCCAAGGCTGTGGGCACCTGCCACCTAGCTGAGGGACCTGGAAGGAGCTCCAGCTTCCGGCTTCAGCCATGCCCAGACTGACATTAGCAACCATCTGGGCAACGAACAAGTAAATGAGAGAAGAATCTCTCTTTCTCTTTCCACCCCTCTTCTCTCTGTGTCCCTTGTTCTCTGTTGCTCTTCCTTTCAAATAAATACATGGAAAAACGGAATGGAAAGATCAGCTTATTTTCGCAATGTTATACTCTTTTGAAATCTGTGTGTGTGGTTTTCACAACACACACTTGCCAGCAACTGCTTCACGGAAAGTCAATTTGGTTTTGGAAATTTTGTTTGTACATGTAAAGCAGCTACAGACCCAGGTCGAAATCTCAAGATGCTGGGGTTATACGTGGTTAGGAGGATTGCTTTTCCCCTGTTTTTAAAATTTGGCCATTACCTACACTGGTACTGCAGGCATGCCAGAATCCCCCATCACGGGGGAACAAGCTGGTGTGTCATCAGGCACTCCCTCTGCAAGCAAAGACATGGAGGAGTCCTTTCAGTATGGTAACCTGGGCAACTTCCTGCCCAGCCGTGGGCTCAAGGAAGGAAAGAAGAAAGCAGTGCCTGCTCCATTCACAGGCGTCACCTAGTGGGCACTACTGAGAGGCAAGGAGCCCAGGAGGCAGCCAGCACTCACCAGACAGCCCACAGTGCAGCTGCAGCCACTGAGAGCTCGCTCTGCGTTGGCAGGGAAGAGCCACCACACCGACCACAGAGGGAGGTTGGGGCTTGAATCGGACAACGCTAAGCCATTCCAGCGTAAACTGGGAAGAAAGAGGAATGTACTTAGAGTACCGGATTTAAAAGCAAAACCCAAGTTCATCCTCTTCTGCCTTTGGGGCTGCAGACGCGAGAATCATCAAAGCAAAGGCAAGCATCTCTGGTCTGGCTCGCAGCCAGGTGATGCAGCCGTGGCTTTGTCTTGGCACTTGCCCTGTAAAAACCCCCCAGAACAGGCATTCTGCTTTGTTCTTAATGTCTTTAGGATACTGCAATTCCCCTAGGGTGCCCTGAAGCGGGTGTTAATCTGCGTACCTCCTGTGGTCCCTAAACTGTGGACTCCATTTTCTGCCTTCCACATCGCATTGGGTCTGTGGCTGGCTCCAGCTCCTGCCCGGATCTCCCATCATGAGCCACTGGGGTTATAAACTAGGCTTTAGGGCACCACTCAGACTCAACTCCAGTCTTTAGAAAAAGGACAGAAAATGCAAGGATGACAAAGTGGAATTCCGGGGCAGCCCTCGCCGAGGGAGAGGAGAGTTTCTGTGCTCTGAGATGTGCGCCTGTGGAGTGAGGATGTTTTCCGAGGGGCCACTGCTGCTGCTGTCGCCAAGCGTAGTCAGGTGGAACCTAGAGCTGCCATCTCATAGAACCAAATTTCATTTTTCAGGGCTTGCAAAAGTTCACGCTGCCTCCTGCAAATTCTGCCGGTTAGACCGTGAGTTGACGACTCCGTGTTGTGAAAAGGTTTTACTATATAAGGGGAAAGCAATTTAAAAAGCAAACTTTCCAAATGAGGAGGCTAAAGCATTGGGAATCTAAAAACCTGCCTTTGGAGAATGAGTTTTAGAAAAGACCAGGAGAAAACCTGAGCAGCAATTTGCCTCACACTGTAGTAAGGGGTACAGGCCTGGCACTGTGGCACAGCGGGATAAGCCACTGCCTGGGGCACTGCCATCTCTGATCAGAGAGTTGCTTCAAGTCCCTGCTAGGGAAAGCAGCCAAAGACAGCCCAAGTACCTAGGACCCTGTCACCCACTTGGGACATCACATGGGGTTTCTTGCTGTTCCTGGCTTCAGGCCAGCCCAGTCCTGGCCATTGCAGCCATTTAAGGAATAAACCAGCAGATGGAAGCTCTCGCTCTGCCTTTTAAATAAATAAAATAAGTCTTATAAAAACAAAAAGATCACAGACTTGGACCACAGGTAGAACTAAGTGCAAATTCCAGCTCTAGACTTAAGACAAAACAACGTTCTCTTTCTTAAATTATTCCTTTATTCCTGAAAGGAAGAGAATACTATTGAGAGCTGTTCAACTGATTTACTTTTAACTGCTAGATAATGAACAAAATAAATATTTTATCTCTTGCTAACTATTAGTTAAAAATAAATACTTGTATTCTCAGAATTATAGGTACCTCTGAAACGTGCTGTGCATGCTTCTCTATACCATGACCATGGGCTCACCTTACCCCCTGAAATCTGCATAACCACCCCAGGTGACCATCTGAGGAAGAGTCACTTGCTTTATCACTAACCCAGCAAAAGTCACAGAAGAAGTATCAAGGACAGGCCTCACATTCGTTTTGAACTCGCTCGTTTCTGGGGGCCTCATCGCTCGTGTGACATGGCACCTGATTCTGTTTAAGGGTCAGTGAGTGCTCTGCTTTCTGACCATTGACTCCTGGCTGCCAGCTGGACCAACCTGTTCCTGGATCTGGACTCTAGCCCAGCCACTCCCCCCGACCTGCGGACTCCAGGGAACACCTCTGGCCAACGTCCTATAATAATGTTCATTGGAGGAGGTAAGCTCTGCCCTCGGGCTGAGTGGATCGGGGGACAATCCAGGACAACCCCTAAAAGAGCAGTGTGAAGCCAGGGACAATAGGAGCTCAATATGCCCTCTCTGGGGCCTGCTAGAGTTATGACAGAGAAGAACTGGTCAAACTGCTACACCGAGAACATTGCCACATTTGTTCAACATGCATGAAGCAGTGTATGGCTATGCCGTATTTAGGATACTGTGGGGTTGTCCTTAAGCACATCAGAAATGGCTGTTCCCCATTTTTCTAAATTCACTCGCCCCATCTCTTGCTTCTCTCCTTCAGTCTCCCCCAAGACAACAACTTACTCCTGTGCCCTGGGCACCATTTACAAAGTACCATAGTCGAATGAAGCTCTCTGGCCCACACCAATGGAAGAGGCCTGAGCGCAGAGCCACAGGTCATGCCAAGGGAAGGAGGAGGCCTCGTCCATACCCGAGAGACATTCACGACATTCCAGAGATAAATTCTCAGTCCATTTCAACATGACCAAGACGGGACAGTATGGAGCTGATAGCTTATATAAGACCAATTACAGCCTTATTCTCTCACTCCCAATCCAGGAGCGCTGTGAAGACACAATGCAATATGCATCCCTACTTCCAAATCAAAGATGAATTCCCAATGAAATCGTTGGAAATATCTAGACAATGAGCTGATGGACTGTCTGACATCGTCTGCAATGTCAGGGCACACTTAAGTAACAGACTGATGGAATCATGACTCCTTATGAAGGACTATACTATTGAAATAATATGGGGAAAATCAGTCAAGGGGGTGGAATTTTGGGGGAAGGGGAGATCCCAGACACTATGGAATTGTACCATGAAATTCAAAATAAATAAATGAATATTCAAAACAAAAAGAAAAGAAAATTCTCAGGTCTGGCATGATAGCCTAGTGGCTCAATCCTTGCCTTCCATCTGCCAGGATCCCATATGGGTGCTGGTTCATGTCCTGGCAGCCCTGCTTCCCATCCATATCCCTGCTTATGGCCTGGGGAAGCAGTAGAGGATGGCCTAAGGCCTTGGGATCCTGCACCCACATGGGAGACTCAGAAGAAGCTCCCGGTTCTTGGCTTCCAATTGGCTCAGCTCCAGCCACTGCAGCCAGTTGGGGAGTGAACCAGCAGATAAAAGATCTTTCTCTCTCTTTCTCCTTCTCTGTAAATCTGCCTTTCCAAAATAAATAAATCTTATTAAAAAAAGAATTATTGTTTCAGAGTAAAGAATTCCCTAGTGCTATTGAAATTGTTCTAAAACAAACGCAGCTACGGGGTCTGAGTGACAACACAAAACACAAAAGCCCAGGGAACCTAACATCCAAGGGAGACGAAAATCTGCAAAACTCCTCCAAGGACTTGCAGTCAACCCACACTCTGAAAAGCTCTGGCTCCTAGTTATATTTGGCATTTGGTTACTCTCGTATTCTTCCTTGTATCCAATTTATTTTTCAAATGTTCACTTAGCTATATGTATTCTCAGCAAAACCATACAAAAACCTGAAAGGGAAAGAATAAGGACTAAAATAAACATGGAGACTGCTTTCACCCACGAATTTCTTCCATTCAGCAAGAGACGGATGAGTCCCCAGTGACACTGGTGCTTTCTGGCCCAATCTGCTGTCCTACACTCTCCCGGGAATGTTATAAATGGCCCATTATTCCCATATATATCCTCTTGTTGGGTGATCACCAAAAAAAAAAAAAAAAAAAAATCTTCTTAAAAGATTCCAAAGTTCCCTCCTTTAAGAAGTTTCAGATTTTTTTCACATTAAGAATTTAAATTTTTATTGATTTATAAAAACCAGAAGACCCCAGTTTAATGGCAATATAGAAAACAGCTATAAACAATGATTGGATAGAAAGAATGATCAGTTCGCCCATATAGAAGTTTCAGATCTTTAAAAATCGATCGAATCATTTTCTTTTTTATTTTTCAAAGGTTTTTTTTTATTATTATTATTTGAAAGGCAGATCCACAGAGAGGAGAGAAAGAAAGAGCTGCCCTTCGCTAGTTCACTCCCCACAAGGCCACAATGGCCAAAGCTGAGCTGAGCTGAAGTCAGGAGCTGCTTCCAGACCTCCCAGTGCAGATCCAGGGTCCTAAGACTTTTGGCCCATCCTCTACTGCTTTCCCAGATCATAAGCGGGAAGCCGGATGCGAAGCGGAGCAGCTGAGACAGGAGCTGGTGCCCATTTGGGATCCCAGCATGTGCAAGGCGAGGATTTGAGCTGCTGAGCTGTCATACCAGGCCCACAGCCATTTTCAATGCCTGAAACCTAAGCCATTTGTCCACTGGACAAACACAAAGCTTTACTGTTCTTGGCTGCCCAGCTCCTAGAGCCGACCCTACACCCTAGGCCCTTCCAAAACAACGTGCGGTCCTGGGATGAACAGTTAACCAACACCGTTAGTCAGAAGTGCAAAATTTCAAGGCCTCCACAGACCCACTTAATCAAAGCCTCACTTTTAGCAAGATTCTTCAGCTGATTTCTGCACACATGAATGCTTGACAATCATTCACTTGGACCACTGGGCTGGTAACCATGGAAAGGTTCAAATTAGTCACATTCATCTTTATATTCCGTGATCCTCTAAACCATTTGATATTCATTCAGAGTGTTAGTTCTTCTCCGTTACTGTAACAAATGACCACAAGCCATGGCTGTTATTTTAAATCAAATTTACCATAGACCCAAAATGGATTCCATGGGCCTAAAATCAAAACGTTTTGTCTCTTCTGGAGGCTGTTTCCCACTTGGCTTCTAGAACCCCCTTTCTCTATTTTTCACAGTCAACAGCACCACATTTCCAACTCACATCTCTCTCTCTGCCTCCACTTTTCCTCTCTCCTCTTTCTTCCAGCCCCTTCTCTCCTGTCTCTCTTTCCCTCTCTCCTCTTTTTTCCCTCTCTCTCCTCTGCCCTTCCTCCCTCCCTTCTATCCTCTCTGTATTTCTCTCTGCCCCCCTCCTCTACGTATCAGGACCCTTGTAACCGCTGTGTGCCAACAGAGATAATCCACAATAATCTCCCACATCAAAAATCACAAATGTCATCACATTTGCAAAGTCCCTTTTGCCACGTAAGGCAGCATATTCCTAGGTTCCGGGATCAACACATGCATATCTCTGAGCGGGTTGGGGCTCGACATGCTCATCTAGGACACCCAGTAAATGTCTGCAAGATTCGGTTCAGACTCATTCATTTTTTTTCTCCCCAAACGCCTACCTTCTTGAGAATGCCATTTCCCTTCTAGGCACTCACTGCTCTCTGCCCTGTCATTGTCTCCTCCTCACGGCTGGCACCTTCACCTGCCTGCTATTGTCACGTGCCAGCTCTGCTTTCCTCCCACTCCTGTGTGTTCTGCTCAGACTTGCCCACCAGCCACCTGACCTTTTAAAAGGTCCTTCTTTTGGCCATCTTCCCCAGAGTGCTTCTGCCTGCGCTACACCTGCCTGCTACCATCCTGTGGGCCCAAACACCACCCCTACTTCTTTCAAATCTTCCTGAATGGTCACTTTTTCAAAAACACCTTTAACAGTTACTTCCGGGAAAGACGTGATTTCATTTTCCACGCCCCTTTAAGTTACCAGAAAATATATAAAAAGAGAAATCATCAAGATATATTATTTCACATTTCCAAAGAGTCTCAGAAATACACATGTGCTTGACTTCATTAGTTCCTCAACTTCGTGGTGTGTGGACTGAAAGGATGAGAAAATCATTAACCCTGGCTGAGAACACATACTTAAGAAAACTTTCCACATGGTGACAGCCAAGATTCACTTTCAAGTTTAACCTCTGAGTGTGGGTTTTTTTTTTTTTTTCCGTAAGTCAGTCCATCTGACTTGTTTCACCACCACCTCGTGTCTAGAGACAAGCGGACACAGAAAACCCTGGGATTCTGATGGAGAAACTGAAACTCATACCCTATTCTCTATGTCAAGAAACTGCAGTGTGATGATTGGCTGCAAAAACGCAGCGGAGGGCCCGGCGCAGTGGCGCAGTGGTTAAGGTCCTCGCCTTGCACACCCAGGATCCCATATGGGCGCCGGTTCTAATCCCGGCAGCCCCACTTCCCTTCCAGCTCCCTGCCTGTGGCCCGGAAAAGCAGTCGAGGACGGCCCAAGGCTTTGGGAACCTGCACCTGAGTAGGAGACCCGGAAGAGGCTCCTGGCTTCAGATCGGCATGGCATTGGCCGTTGCGCTCACTTGGGGAGTGAATCATCGGACGGAAGATCTTCCTCTCTGTCTCTCCTCTCTGTATATCCGCCTTTCCAATAAAAAAATAATAAAAATAAAATCTTTAAAACAAAACGCAGGGGATAAAACTCCTGAGAGATACAAAGGGGAAAGGAGTCCCTGTTCTCACAGCTACAGATACGGCCAAGCCATCTCTCACAGTGACTCAAGGGAAACCAAGGGGCACAAATGGATAGAACTGTATCTGCCAGACACATTACTGTTGGTGACAGCAGCCACACACACACACACACACACACAGGGCGCATAACTGTAAACTAAGAACAGCAACTTCTCCCACGCGTGTGGGGTTCACTGCCTGACTCCGAAACATTAGGTACAGCGTTGACCATAACTACATTCCATGTTTCTAACGTAATCTGCATTTAGCTAGGTTTAGCAAGGTATCCAAACCAAATTTTTTTTGTAAAGCTAGGAATGGTTAAGAAGCAGCTCTGGGGCCCGGTGCGGTGGCGCAAGTGGTTGAGGTCCTCGCCTTGCACGCCCGGGATCCCATGTGGGCGCCGGTTCTAATTCCGGCAGCCCCGCTTCCCTTCCAGCTCCCTGCCTGTGGCCCGGGAAAGCAGTCGAGGACGGCCCAAGGCTTTGGGACCCTGCACCCGCGTGGGAGATCCGGAAGAGGCTCCTGGCTTCAGATCGGCATAGCATCGGCCGTTGCGCTCACTTAGGGAGTGAATCATCGGACGGAAGATCTTCCTCTCTGTCTCTCCTCTCTGTATATCCGCCTCTCCAATTAAAAAAAAAAAAGAAGCAGCTCTGAACATTGGTATTTCAGAAGAAAGCTGTTGAGAACTGGTGGGAAAGTTCTGCCTTCCTAATACAGATGTTGACCCCTCCTCCTGGCTGCTTCCTCCTCAAAGCTTCAGGGAAAACAGGTGTCATGGCTGGATCCACACACAACAGGGACAAGAAAATCACAGACATCAGTATATAAACCATGAAGGCCCCGAATCACTGACTTGCTACCGTCGAGACCACCGTTACACAAGAGGGAAAAAATAAAACACACTGAATGCTCGTGTGGGTATCATTACAGATGTTCATTGGGTGTATCTCTTCCTCTGAGCCAAAGAGGAATCTTGACAAATGGATAACTTCGTGGTTTCACAGTATGGTCCCTGGGACAGCTAGCATTATTTGTAGACATGAAACTCCTAGGGTCCACCCACAAGTCTCTGAGTCAGAAACTTCAAGGACAGATGCTGCAAGCTGTCATTTAACCAGCTCTGCAGGTGATTCAAGTGTGCAATGGAGGATTTTTTTTAATCTATTTATTTACTTGAAAAGCAGAGAGGCAAAGAAAGAGGGAGTGATAGTGCATTTTCTGGTTCACTCCCCAAAGGGCTGCCAGAGCTGGATCCATTTGAAGCCAGGGACCATGAGCTTCTTCTGTATCTCCTACATGGGT